GCTCAGAAGAAAAACCTAAAATGGAGGCTGATCAAAAGTCTGGTAATGTAGAAAATCTGCAACAGAGGATTGAAAGAGAGGTTTTAATGGTACAATATAATTTCACAGAATATGCGATAAGACTGAGAGGTTTGCAGGAAGATAACAGAGATGATCTAAGGAAAATATCTTCTGAATTTCTAGCTGGGATTTTAAAGGTTCAACCCGAGGAAGTGTTTTGTAGGATTGACAGAGTTTACAGAATAAATTCCTGGATTGCCAAGCAAAGGCAATTGCCTAGAGATGTAGTGATTTATTTTACAGACAAGGAAATTAGGAATAATATTGTGCAAAATTCCTTCAATTCTAATCTGCAACTGCATGGAAGAAAGATTTGGATTTACAAAGAACTCCCACCTAAGATATTAATGGAAAGGAAGAAATTTGCTTTTCTGGTGACTGAGTTAAAAAAGAGAAATATCCTATTCAGGTGGGACGCTCCAGTTGGTATCATACTGAGATATCAAGGAGAAAGATACCAGTTAAATACTGTTGAAAGAGCGGAAGAATTTTATCAAAACAGATTGAAAATGAACTTAACGTCTTCAGGTATAATACAGGATAAGCAGAAGGAGTTGGAAATAAAGGGAAAATACCGTGCTACAGAGACTGTACCAGATAAACTGTCTTTGGATTTTTCGGATACCCCAGCTGGATTATTTACAAATCGGAGAGAAGTGGCATCTGACTTTAATGTGATGACCTATCAAGTCAAGGACAAGCATGGAAACCAATTAGGGGATATACAAGGGGCAAAAAAGAAAGATGAGACACAAAAACAAAACCAACAAGATCAATCTACAGAGCAGAATCAAAACCGACTAGTTGATACACAATCCGTAGAAAGGAAACCAGGATGGAAATCAAACCCGCAAAAAGAAAAGAAAAAAAGAAATAGGTTGCATAAAAATAGAAATTTCTAAATCAAGCAACAGTGAAGCCAGTGACTTTAAAAATGAATGAGTATATGAAAATATAGAGGAGGCGACGTATTGGTCAATATTATCCTGAGGATGGTGACAGGCCTCTGCATTGCCGTAATTTTGGGATGTGAAAAGAGCCTCAAACTGATGGATTTTAATTATCTACTTTGGAACTCCTTTTTGTGCTGATAACTATATTATAATTATCTTGAATTATAAGGCAAAAGAGTCATACTGGGGCATGCAGAAGATCTGGTTGTTACCCACTACGATGATGGGAATTAATAATCCTGATGAAAGCCACAATTATTACTACATGGAATATAAATATAATGTCACTCGGGTGGTTGTTTTTACTTTCATATATATAAGAGGATATTTACTACTGATGGGGGCAGATATGATTGAAGATTTTGAATATACTGTTGCATCAGCAAGCTATGTTACCCTATTATGGATGATGGTTTTAATAATCCAGAGGAAAGACTTTAAAGAAGATATCATATGGATTATAAATTTAAAGTTATTGTCTTTTCTTTTTACTTAGATATAATGGAATATATATACATGTACTTTTAAGTAGAGTGGGCAATGAATTAAAGACATTAAGAATTGTTGTGTATGATAATTTTGCAGGACAGTGGGTGAATAAGCTAGTTTGCAGACTGATTAGTTTAAGAAAAGGGATTTTTAAGTGATACGTTTAGGGGAGTGGAGGGAATGGATAGAGTGGAATAAATGTTAAATTAGGTTTTACGGGGAGGGCTGCTTTGGAATGTTATAGTAATATATATAGATCAAATGTTAAAGTAGGATTTATTGTATAGTTTTAAAGTGGAAGGTGGTTTTGAATTGTTGTAATAATATACAGATACAAGCTTGGGAGAGGAGAAAAAGGGTAGATTATTGCCAAATTGGGAGTTATAATACTATTTTGCTAAATTAGAAGTTACTATACAATGTTATAGTATAATGTCTTTTTTTTTTTTATTCCTTTCTTGAAATGTATTGATAAAGGGGATGTTATAATATTAATAATACTTTTAGTAAGTAAAGGTCAGTATTTAGAGGAGGGGGTAAGTAATCTGTTATGAATTAGGTTTTTTGTTATGAAGAAGTCACAGGGGGGGACGGGTGGGGAGGGGGGGTTAGGGAGGGGGAGGGGGAGGGGGAAAAAGGGGGGGGAATTTTGTATTTGAAAACTTTTTCAATAAAAAAAAAAGAAAAATAAAAGAGAAACTATATCTGCATAGGACCATGATGGCGAACCTATGGCACATGTGCCCCCGAAGTGGCACATGGAGCCATGTCGCCTGGCATGCACGGCGTCACATGTTCCTCTTCCGAATTTCTGGTGTGCATGCACGCACGACAATCACCTGGCCTTTTTGCATGCAGCAGTGCTGTAAACTAAAAGAGCTGGTCTTCCATTTTCCAGCATGAGCATGCGTGCCTGCCAGCTGATCGTCACGTACACATGCACGCCAGAAACCCAGAAGAGTAGTTGGCTGAAACGGGAAGTTCATTTTTGGCCACACTCATGCACCCTGTGCAGCTCCTGTTCTGGGTTGCAGCCAAGACATGTGTGGGCGCTCCCTTTTTGGCATTTGGTGCTGAAAAGGTTTGCCATCATTGCTATAGACTGTGATGGCGAACCTATGGCACCTGTGGCACGCAGAGCCATATCTGTGGGCACGCGAGCATTGCCCGAGCTCAGCTCTGTGCATGCACGCATTGGCCAGCTGATTTTCAGGCCTTCTGGGCCCACTGGAAGTCAGGAAATGGGCCGTTTCCGGCCTCCGGAGGGTCTCCGGGGGGGAGGCTGTTTTCGCCCTCCCCATGCTCCAAGAAAGCCTCTGGACCCTGGGGAGAGTGAAAAATGGGCCCTCCAGTCCCACCGGAAGTTGGGAAACGGGACGTTTCTGGCAACTGGAGGGCCTCTGGGGGGTGGGGTTGGGGAAGGCCATTTTCACCCTCCCCAGACTCCAAGAAAGCCTCTGGAGCCTGGGGAGGCCAAAAAATGGGCCGACCTGGCCCACCGTGCCATTGTGTGCCAAAAGCGGGGGGAGTGCGGGGGGTTGCGTGTGCATGCGTGGGGGGCAGGACACATTGAATTATGGGTGAGGGCACACGTGCGTGTGCAACCCCTCCGCGCTTCCCCAACTTTTGGCACAAGGCAGCAAAAAGGTTTACCATCACTGGTATAGGATATAGGACAGCTACAATTTCCACACATACTGCTTGAAGCAGAAAATAATGATCTGAAATGATGCTGTAACAGGTTTGAATAGTACAGGTTTGATAAACTCTTTAAAATGGTCTTTTTTTCCATGAAAACCTCAACCTACTCAGCAAGTCCAGCTCGGAAACCTCTGTCACCTTATTGCTTGGTACTTTCAAACATATTTAAAATACCAGTTACCTAATTTCTATGGAACTGGTAGCACCATCTTGTTTGGTGGCCAAGCAGCCTCCTTGCACTGGCTAGGTTAGCGTTTCCTCCTATTCACAACCCACCTTGTTTCCCCTTTCCCAGCAGTTCCTGATCTAGCTGCTGAAACAAAATCATTAATATTTGAAGATCATACCATTGTTGTTGTTATTATTGATTATTACCATCTATTTTTGAATTTCTGAACATATACTAAGAAATCCCACCAATTTCAATGTACCTTAATCTCTAGAAAATGTTTTTAAACTAGATTTAAGACTTTTATGCTTTATTTTAATTAATTTGACATCAGATTCATGTTAATTAAAATAAATGTTAACCAACTGTTAGAGTGGAATTACGAATATATTTGGCAAAAATTATACTTTTAAATTATAGTGCTGGGAAAGAGAGGGCTAAATGCAGCATGTAGATCACAATTTTCTATTTTTTTATATGCATAGTCAGCTAGTCTTTAAAGATTAAATTAGTTAGTCTTGAATTAGTTCACTTGCATTTGAATAATTAGATTCTGTAATCTCTAAAATCTACACTGATTATCCTTAATTCCTAATTATTCCTAATTGCAAAATAAAATCCCAATTTTATTTCCAAACCAACTATCAAAATCAATTATTTTCTTTTAGACACACTGAGATATTCCTCTGTGTAAAAAGAAACCAATAAGCTAATCAGAAAGTATGAAATATATAACAGTTATTTGGAAACTGTGTTTGTAGTCCTATATGCTTGAATGTAGAAACCCCATTAGATGTATTTCTTAGTGCAGGCCAGGGGTGTCAAATTCACATCGTCATGGCTGTGTCACATGACATATTGGGACTTTTCCCCCCTTCGCAAAACTGGGTGTGGGCATGGCCAGCATGTGACACATCTGGCCCATAGGCTTGGAGTTTGACAGCCCTGTCTTAGTGGATTCTATAACATAATAAAAATAATGATCGGATAAAACTTCATTTGCATACTGAGATAGGGAAAAATATAATATATTTTTTTCTTACTGGAGCTCAAAATTAAAGAATATTTTATTGGCATTTAATTTCCATAATATTGACATACAATATTATTGTAATTCATTATGCTTAAGTATTAAAGGTCCATAACAAAATATCATAAAATACAAAAAGTAATTGTTCCAATAGAAAATATACATTGTTCAGGGTTGAACTGGAGTCTTTGGTGCTCTCTGAGGTTAGTTTTCGTTTATAATGTTATCTAATCAGGTAACAAAACATCTGCCAGCCAACCAAGCGCAGAAAGCATCAAAAACTCCAAAATAATTGTTTTCTAGACATTTGACCTGATCCATTCAGATATTATATCTTATTGATTAATTGTTAATGGTTTGTCACTGAAAATATCCACTCAAACCTGCAGGCTACTCTCCTTAAATGACATAGATAGGAAACAGGGATCTATACTTTGGCTTAAGGTTGGATGTCCTCTTCATTATCATCTTCTAATTCTGCTAACAAATGTACATACTTAAAACCAGACTATACAACCTGGGGATGGGCTGAGGTATTAAACCATACCTGGCCTTTTACATCCATGCCAGAGACCTCAGTCTAAAAAGTGGGCAAGAATAAGACAAAAAAATTTAATATTTATTTCTCATTCACATTGAATCTACTTAAATACAATTACTATAATTATTCAATAACTTTCCATTTCTATTATCTCAAAAATTAGTTTGGAAATAATCTTTGAAGGGGCCCCACCTATGACATTGCGGATCTGAATGTGCTTCTGAGATCACAATTTATACAACTCAAACAAACAATAGAGCTTTCCGCAGACATTATGGTAGAATGACTGTCTTTTAGCTGCACCAGTCAGGTGAGGAACCAACAGGTGCAAATGGAAATATTCACCAGTGGGTCATTTTAAAGCTGATCATGATATTCATAGATGAGTAGTACATACAAAAGAAAAGAAGGGAATATTCTTTAAATAGAAATAATATGCACTTCGTGTCAGGGAAACATGCAGCCAATGCAAAAAGCGAAGCTAAGTTTTCTTTTCCAATACTTTTGGATTAGATTTTCTAAAATAATAATTTACAGCTGGGAAAAAATTAAACATACTAACAAAATCCAAGGACATCTTTTTTTTTAAAAAAAGTGCTGAAAACTAAATCATTTCAAGGCCTTTCAATGAGATCAGACATCCAAGTGCTGGAGGACTTTTAAAACATGCTTTGCAATAGTGAGCAGTGAAACCACATCATGGAAATGAGCTTTGAGATTACTCAGTTGATAGTTCTCAGACTTAAAAACAAACCATACAAACTAAACCAAGAATGGACATGCATATGTTATAAACTAATTTTGAATTGGAGCTCTTCTCATCCTCCCCCCACCCCCCGAACCTGATACACAGTTTAAATGATGTGGGAGTGTGGGTTCGATATCGAGTGCAGAAGCGATGTGGTTTTTGTTGTTATATAATTTCAACGCTTCTTGTAAATTCCCAGAACCAAATACTTATTTTGGTAAACACTTTTTCCTAGCCAGTTCATCAACACATCCGTGCAATTTTCTTGGCAACAGCATGGAAGTGGTTTGGCACTGCCTTCTTTTGCGATGCAATTTCAACTTTCCAGCTTGTCTGGGATTTCCTCGTTGTCACCCATTCAAGTTTCATCCAGATGCTACTTGCCTAGCTTTCCTGAGACCTACTGTGGCTCAGCTATCTATTGTCATCTGCCGTAGGTTTTCTGAGGAAAGAGAGTGACAGAAATTCTAAATGTTAGTATATGTTTAATTAAAGGTTTAATATATTTTGTTATTTAGTATTTAATTAAGTATTCAATATTTGATTAAATATTTAATAACATTAAATATTTTAGGTAGTATGTTTTATATTTTGATAGGGCCCATCAACAATACAGCTATTTATTTGCAGACTATGCTCTCTTGAGTGATGAGATTTTTGTGGGTCATAAATCATTACACAGAGAGGCTGAACTTTAGGCAAGAGTGATTGATCTAATATGAATGATTGTTCCATCTTATTTTGTGGACTTCAGACAATTGTCATGGAAATTGTTACAGTTAAAAAAATAGGAGTTTGAGAACACCATTTCTCACTAACAAATTTTATTCAAAAGCACAAACTTTTACGAACTGCGACTCACTTCAAATGTAGCTTATGAAAGCCGCTGGGTGAGGTCATCTGTCACTATGGACTAAGGTATCTGCTGTAGGCTGATGATGCCCAGCTTTGTATTTCCACCCCTGGGCACCCAAGTATTGCTGTTACTTCCCTCTTGCAGTGCCTGGAAGCTTTGGGAGCCTGGATGGCGCAACAGGTTTGACTGAACCCTGGCAAGACAAAATGACTTTGGGTGCATAGACCCCTCCAGATCCAAAACTTTGTCATCTTTAATTCTAGATGGGATTACACTATCCCAGACAGATCTGGTCCCACAACTTGGGGGTTCTCCTGGACTCATGACTCCTGCTCAAAGAGGAGAGCATTTGTACAACTTTGGGTTGTGTGCTAGTTGTAGCCTTTCCTGGAGCAGGAGTCCCTACATTCAATCATTCAGGGCCCACTGCAACGTGCTCTACATGAGTCTATCCTTGAAGAGCATTTGAACCACAGCTAGTGCAGAGTGTAACAGTATAGGCAGTTTTTGGTGTCCCAAGAATGGACCATGTAACACCAGTACTTTGTGAGTTGCATTGGCTGTCAGTGTACTTCTGGGTGCAATTCAAGGTGTTGGTAATCATCTTTAAAGCCCTTCATTGTATGTGTCCAAGCTACTTGAAGAATTGTCTCATTCCACTGGATTGGCCCATCCCACCTATGTCCCACCCCTACTGATAGAGGAGGCATGCTGTGGGCCCCTTCAGCCTGATTATTCCAACTGGCTGGAGCCAGAAGGGCCTTCTCTGTTGTTGCACCTGCCCTCTGGAACCTCTTACACCCCCGCCCCCCCCACCCAAGTGAGGTTCGTTTCAACCCTCCTGACTTTCTGGAAGAGCCTAAAGACCTAGTTCTGCCAGTTAGCTTGGGGCTCCAATGGGGGTGCATCACAATGAAGGTGGTTGATCGATTGGCAACAGATCCCACTTCACTCCCCCTCCTGTTCCAGCCTTCCCCATTTTTAATTAGGGCAGAGTGTTTGGCTGTTGAATTAACTTATTTATGTTTTTAGTTTATATAGCTTTTATCTTTTATGATTGCAAGTCACCAGAGTTACTTTGAGATAAAGTGGGCAGCCTATAAATTTTATAAGTAAGTAAGCAAGTAAGTAAATAAGTAAGTAAAAGTATGTAAGTATGTAAGTAAGTATATCAATAAATCTTATACCTTTTTGTAAAATGCATTAGTTGGAAAAGATGTTATCAGACTCCTTCCTTTTACTCTCTTTCCTTTTTCTTTTCTTTCTTTTTTTTTGCTACATAGATTATCACAGCTCTGTTCCTATATTGTCAGAGTAGGCCTCTTTGAAGGAAAAGTGGGATAAAAATGCAATGGATATGGCTTTCTGACCAAGTAGTAACCTGGCCCAGTTCTTCTTAGCTTCTGAGCCAAGAGTGACTCATGCGAAAAATAAAAATAGTTCCTTGTGCTCACAACTTCCCAGCAACATTGACTATATTCAATGAGGATTAATGTGAATTTTGGAATATTTTGAGCAACATAATGAAAAACAAGCTTTTAGGTACAAAAAGTGAGAAGATGGCAATTCCCACTGTATCATGTTTATTTTGGTTCTTGAAAATATAAGACAAAATGAGATCTTTTAAAGGAAATTGAAACTAATAGGAAATTTAAAACAATTTTGTGCCTTACCAGATTTCAAGATCAACAAACAGGAAATGAAGATGTTAACAAAGAAAAAGGAAAGAAAATAGGCTATCAAGAAGAATTGATGAATAAAACAGGTTTTAAGATTGAAAAAAAAATCTGACAATGTGAATTGTATATTATTTCAAAATGTTAAGTCACGGAATGAAGTTTTTTAAAAAAGATAAGTTAAAATGGAGTAAGCTACAATTTTCACCTCTGGGAAGCATTTCTGTGATAAAAATGAATGTCCTGCCTACAATGATGTTCTTGTTGCATCAGTTAAACATGGCAAAAGGATTTGTCTAAATTTATGTGGCAGGGGGAAAAACACAGGTTAAAGTTTAAGGTAATATGGGATGGAAAGGAAAAAAGAGAATTGGGTTTACTTGGTTTGAAATTGTATTTTGCAGCTTGCTGTTTGGTTTAGATCAGAGGTCAGCAACCTGCGGCTCCAGAGCCCTCTTTGGGCCCTTCTGCTGTGGCTCACATCCCACCACTGACTGGCCCCACCCCTCGCCCTCCCCTCCCAGTCACTCCTCGCCTGGGAAGATAAGGGTGACAGAGGGAGATGGAGAAGTGGCCAGGGCAGAAACTGAGAGATACGGAGAGAGGGGGAGAGAGGGAGACATAGAGATGCAGAGAGAGAGGGAGAGAGATGGGGAGGGGGGAGAGAGAGATATGTCAAAAGGGTTTTGTGGTTCCCAGTGTTTTTTAACAACTGGTTCTCTGCCCTAATGACCGGCTGGGTAGGCGTGGCTAGTGGGTCATGTGACTGGTGGAAGTGAGCGACATCGAGTTGGCCATGCCCACCCAGGTTTTGTGGCTCCTGGTGTTTTCTTTTCTGTGGGAAACGGGTTCAAATGGCTCTTTGAGTGCTTAAGGTTGCAGACCCCTGGTTTAGATGGAGGCTATTAAAAAATAGAAGGCTTTTGACATTAGAAGGATGTGGGACTTGGGAAGAATGGGTATCTATGATACAAAAAGTCAAATTTGAAACAGAAGAACAAGAGAAAAGTTATATGATAAAGTAGACTAAAATTTTGGTTATAATATACAGATAGAACAAAGGGGAAAACACCTTTGAGAAGCTTGAAATTTATACTATGTTATAATCTTAAAAAGAATTTTTAGAAAATGATATACCAGAGAAGTTGTCTGGAATGTATAAAGGCACTTCAAATACACATTGGAAATGTGAACAACAAAGAAGGGACACTTTACCATGCTTGGTAGCAATGTGTCCAAAATTTTGGATTCAAATACCTGCACTGATTCAGAGGATTTTAAAGATTAATGTACAGTTGAGATCAGAGGTCATTCTTTTGAGACTAATGGACAAACAGTTTGAAGAAAAGCAATGAAACTTCATTTTTGTATATGGTAACTACAGCAAGATTATTGCATGCACAAAATGGAAAGATTTGACAATACCTACAATGGAGGATGGTTGATGAAGATAATGGAACCTGTTGAGATGGCCAAATTGACTTCTTTAATTAGAGAAAAGATAATGTCTACATTTATTGCTGACTGGAAAAGTCCTTATAGAGTTTTAGCAGATAACATAAAAAATTAATTTAAGATATTTGGTTTTGATAACGAGATAGCATAAGTTATAGAAAAAAGAGAGAGATGTTGCAACTTTAGAGAACTAGGTAAACTTATCCTTGTACTTATAACTGCTGTAACAAAATCAGAGGCCACTCTTTTTATCAGTTTTCTTTCCTTTTTATTTTTCTTCTACTTTTTTCCCTTTCTTGCACTTTTAGCTTCCTTTGATTTTTTTTTCTTATTTTATGCTAATTTATATTAGTTTCTATTTTCTTTTTAATTTTTTTTAAACAAAACTATATTCCAAACAAGAGCATGTCAATATGTTTAGCATGTTGTCTTTGTGCGGTCCTGCAATTGACTAGCTGTAGCAAGTCCTATCCTGGGGAAAAATCCTTGTTATTAAATATTCCATTAGAATAGCATAAATGTCCAGATACTTTAGTGTGGAATAAAGTCAAAGTGTATTTAAGGGGTTAACAAGACACTATAAATCTCAGGAGTTCCTGAGATTTATATCTATTGTTTTCAAATGTAAACTGTACCACAGCAATGAGATTTGCTGTGCCAGCAAATAAATCAGTAGAATAAAAATTATTTAATATGCCACTGTAATGTATACTTGCAAATAACCAATTGCCAAACCACATGCAATGAGTAAAGAACTAATTCTAGGCAAATGAAATTGCCAAACAGTTTACTTTGCCCCCTGTAAGTTATTGATCCCTTGTAATGTTAGATAGATGCCAGGATTAATAACATCTCTGTATGGGTCTGTAACATTTTGGCCCATGACTTTATATTAATTTCTAGTGTTGGCAGGTAATACGTAGATAATAACTCATTATGATTAATGCAAAAAAAAAAAAAGAATGTGTTTGGTGTGAATACTGTACCTATTACATTGGTAGCACTTTAATGCAATAGAGAAGATTATTGGGGAAATGCAATTGACTGAATTTGGGGGAAATAACATAATGATCAGTATGTAGACTGACAGCACTGACAATCTAGTTAAATCTTTAACTGAGAGGAATTGTAATTTGTCAATAATGCAGGTATTTGTACAGAAGAACCCCAGGTTCAATATTGAGCAATTAATAAATTCTTCCTTCCCCCTGCCCATCTTTCTCAGTATTTTTCTCATAAGGAGTACACCCCAGTGATGAATATGCATTATAGGGAAAGATATCCTAAAACAGAAAATTCTACCATCAGCAGGATGGACAGAATATTTAAATGAGATTCTTCATCTTGAGATTTAACTGCACTACTAATTGAAAATATTCCTTCTAAACAAAGAAAGGCTTGCTCACATATTCCACTACAACATTTGTGGTTTATTTGGCTTTAGCTTAACAAAGA